CAGCTCTATTAAGGTTAAGCTCTGGTAGTATAGTGGTTACAAGCTGAGCTGCTAACTTCAAAGTCAGCAATTCAAAACTACCAGCTGTTCCACTGGAGAAAGAAGAGACTTTCTGCTCTCTTAAAAATTTAGACTTAGAAACTGGTACAGGGTAGTTATGAGTCAGAACCGACTCCACTGTCTAGACCAAGACCCTTGATCCAATGGCAACTAAAATACTTGTACTTTCTAAGCACGTTCCAGATTTATGGCATTTTACTTCTAGAAGTTTCTTTTTGCTAATTTCTTCCACTGAGTCATTTTAATCCCTAAAACATTACTTTCTCTGCTTTTTGTGTTTTACCACAGTTGGGATGGGCAGCTAAAGTTATGTTTTAGAATCAGAGAAAACAATCCTAAGATTTCTAGCTTCACATGTTGATATTTTCTGCTTTAACTGGGCATATATTTGAAAAACAATAAAACCCCCTACTCTTACAAATGTTGACCAGGGCTCCAAAAATGAGGTCAGCAACATGATGTTTATATTCCCTGGTGTTGTTTGGTGCAGTTTTGGTCAAATAAGCTATAGAGGAAAACATTCACATTGTGAAGTATGTTATGACTGAAAGACTATATATTAAAATCTTTCAGCAAAGAACAGTGAAACTCATAAATCAGGGTTCTTTTACAATATGTGGTGATGAATCATGTATTTTTGATTAACTGTCTTAGTTTTTGGTTTCAGTATGTGTAAATATCAGTTGAGTCAAGATCTCTGTGGGATATACAGGGTTAGTGAAATAAAATTTTGTTTTAAAATGATTTGGGCATTTGCTGAGAAGAACGAAGGACTTTAAAAAGGCAGAAGAATGATTATGAAACCAGAGCATGTTTGAATCTGTAATAAAAGAATCCATGCAACCTTTAGTCACAGAGTTGCTAATTGGTCTTTTTAAAAAACATTTAACTGTGAATTGAGTGAAGGTTTACAGAGAGATCATCAGTTTTACATTCAACAAATCATAGATTTTGTTTCATATCAATTACAATCCCCTTCATACAAGTTATTCTGCTTCCTCCCAGTCCTTCCTATTTGCATTCCACCCACCTTCCTTTATCCTTAAGTAAATGTTACCCTCTTTGAATGACAGACACAGTGAGCCTATCTTGCTATTGTTGCCCCCCACTATATTACCGATCTACTGCTTGGCTGAAAATTGGGCCAGACCTGAAGGGTGGTTATGGGCCAACGTCTCAAGTCCCTCCAGTTTCTTTCTGACCAGTAAACCCGATCTTTGTTATTATTATTATAATTTTGAATTTTGTTCCACATTTTCTCCCACTCTATCCAGGATCCTCTAATGTGATCCCTTTCAGAGCAGTTGGTAGTGGTGGCTGCCGGGCACCATCTAGTCTGGTCTCAGAGTCTTGAAGACTGATGTTCACACGTTCCATTAGTCCATTGGACTAATAGATTCCAAGCCTCATCCATTCTTATCATTCTTCTTCTTTTCCACACATGGAGAGACTAATAAGTTGCCCCTTATATGGCCGATTATGAGCTTTCAAGATTCCAGCAAGGCTGAGCCAGCAGGTGTCAGTAGAAGTGTGATTGTGATGCTGATGAAAGGAAATGCCTTTCACTGAATCCTAACAGACAAAGGTGAATGCTAAACAGCTGCTATGCAAAACTCCAGTTACTAAGTTACTGAAAGGTTCCCATTAGAAGTTAAAGTCTTAATGACTAAATGTAGTTGGGAGATGTTTTTCTGGGGGTACTCTGATTTTTCAATATGCATTTTTCAAGAACTCTTTTCTTTTTACATGGGCTTACCAATAATACCTCATGAGCTTTGGGAAGGTTAACTTTAAAATATTTTGTATAAAATGAATTGTTATTGGTACTCTGGACCAAATTTATTTGGAGACCTTCCATCAGAGCTCATCTAGTAATCAGAAACATTTTGGTATCTATATTCTTCCACATAGAGAAAAGTGTTACAACTCAGTTTGATGAAGTACTTCCTCTGGGCAGTTGGTGTGACTATCATTAACAAACAAGCAAAAACTGTGGAGGAAGAAAAATCTTTGATTTCTCACTAATTTCTTGAAAACCATATACAGAAAATTGAGAAGACAAGGATGTTTTAAAATTAAGGGAGACTCTGCAGTGCTGCCAAACCTGTGGGCGAACATGAAGTGAGATGTCTCTTTGCCCATCCTTGACTATGGTGGAAATACATAGAAACTTCTCATCAGAAAAAGGTCAGTTTAAGAAGTTTTCAACTGGCCACAAAAAGATATGAGTAAGGGAAAGATTACGGAGCAAGAGTTTCCATGAGCAACTGGGAATTGTTTCTTCATTTCAAGGAAGTACTCACCAACAGCCCAAGAGTGTTCACAGATGACATAGCTCTTCTTTTCACCTGCATGTCCCAAAGGTATGAGCCACACATACCAAGGGAGCTGGGGAACAATTGCCTTGTCTGAAGACACACTCAAAACTTTTATCTTAGCATCTGCTTAATATTCACTTTGATCAGGTTGGGTGTGTGAGTGTTTTCATGTCTACAGACATGGCTTCTGTTCCCAATTCATGTCTAAGTCTAGCAAGTGCCTAAGCCAAAGTCAATCTTGTGTTTCTTTCTTTTAGAAGAAATTTAAGACTGATTACATTCTAGTAAAGCATGTTTTTTTTTTTTAAACGATATCTCTTTTTAAAGGATTTTGTGCAGAATGGACTTCAGCCAGGAACATGCAGAATGTACCTAACTCAGGGGCACATTCATTTGATCAGATGACTGAGAAATTCACGGGTCAAAAGCCTGGCCTCTGCAGAGTTCTGCAGTGGCGCCCCTTGAAAAAGGATTTCTCTTACAGAAGAGTTTTGTCGAGTACACACTGTGTGCTTCAGCAATCTGTGTATCTGACTTTGTCTACGTCAACAGTATTTTCAGAGGAGACTGTGGTTGGGAAGACAGACAGCTATGATTGTGTCTACCAGATTACCTGCACCTCTATGAATATAAACATTATTTAAAGCATACTATCAACTTCCTGGAGTCCTGGTGTGGTGCTGTGGGTTAATGCATTGAACTGAAAAGTCAGTCTGAACCGCAAGGTAGGCAGTTCAAACTTACCAGCACTCCTAGGAAGCCCTATATAGGGTTGCTATGAGTTGGAATCCACTTGAGGGCACTTAGCAACAACAATCAACTTCCTAATATACCCTAGAGGCAAAAATATGGGGGAAAATCCTGTGCTCTTTATCTTTGAGATGTCTTAAAATATGACGGGCTGTGCTGGTAAAAACAGAACTGTGTCTGGTCTTCTATTTGTAAAGTTGAGACAGAACTAGTGCTCCGGAAGGGTATTCATTTGATAGACAAGGAAGGAGAGTCTGGAGGGCCATTTGCTCAAAGCCACATGGATGGCTCATGACAGACAGTACCAGCCCAGAACATGGGTTCCTGGTATCTGGCAGCAACCACCCTTCTCCAAAGGGGACACCTATGCTATCTTTTGTCAGATCAATTATATGTAGAAAATATACATTTTTTTTT